AATCAACATTAATATGGGTATATCTTAGAGTTCTTCTAGATACCTTTCAAATCAACATTAATATGGGTATATCTTAGAGGTCTTCTAGATACCCTTGACAATACATATTATTTTCACAATCATCAATATATTCATTATGATTTAATCATTCATAATTACCATTTTTAATCAAAACATTTATCAAGATTTAATCATCATAATCACCAACTAATAATCATTACCATAATCATTCATCAATTCAATAACAATTAGCGGCCTAGCTTCGGGTGTTAACACTCTAACTTACCGTCATGCATCACATAATATTTTATTTGTTAAAAATATTTCTTTTAATGTGAAAAATCATTTTTATAATGATCATAATCAATTGGTATCAAAAATAGGATTTTAGAGCTCAAAAATAACATTTTCAAACAAATTTTCGGATCAGAAATTCGGGGGATCGATCCAGCCCTCTGGATCGATCCATGATATGTAAAAATCTTCCCAGAGGATCGATCCAAGCCTTAGGATCGATCCAGGCAGTGTTCTTCAGCTTATTGTTCATCTTCTTCAACCTTCGGCCCATTTTTTGGAAATACCGTTTTTAGTTATCGAACTTCAACGAAACTATATAGAGATGTTCTCCAAGGTTCATAGATCATTTTGTCATCATTAATTCATAGTTTTAACATCAATTTCATGGTTTATGATTCTTGGTTCCTTAAGCATGTCAAACACAAAACTCAACCAAACGACCATTTATGAACGTAGAAACAATCTATATGAACATTCTAGTCACTAGATATATCTACGGGCTTAACTCGAAGGTAAATGAAGGTTTTGAATATTTTCCGGCGAAACTTCCGGCAAGATTTGTGGCTAGCTCCGGCGACTTCACAACAAAATGGCAGCACCAGTGCACTCCTCTCTCAACAAGGAACAGAATAGAAAGAAATATGGAGTGTTTTAATGAAGAATTGAGTAAGATTGAATTCTTATATAGAGAAGGTGAGAGGGAAGAAGACGCAGGAAGATGATGATGGATTGGCTAGTGCGCTGGGAGGCGCCGATGGAATAGGTCTCTGATTGGGACCAATTTTGGTTCCAGTCGGAGTATACTTTTTGGTCCAACTTTCTCCGAATTGAACTCTGATTGCACCGTTGCGATCAGACAGTCGAATTCTATTCAACGATATATTTTTCATACTTATTTGTAATACTTTTTTTTTCAACATCATATTTTTGGGTGTTTGACTTTAACAGAGTCAAAATTGGTTTAATTGACCTTTCTCATAAAAGGTTCTCTCATTTAATTCATATCAATTATTCTCATGATTTATTTCAATAAATCATTACAAAGTTAACATCATAATTAATTACTTAATTTATTCTTGATTTGGGTCTGTACTCAGGTTCCCAATCAAGACCACACAAATAGTCAACATATTGGATTTATCTCGATTAGACTTATTCAGATTTTGATATTGGATATTAAAAATATTTCTTATCGGCCCAAAGCCCAATAATAATAAAAACAAATTTGTTTAATCGAATAATTATTTAATAATAATTCTAGGGTATGTTTCGGGGCGTTACATGACTGGGTTTGATACCACTATATCTAGTAATCAATTCAATCAAAAATCAAATTTATGATTATAAGTTCAAAAAAGATGTTATACAACATTGGCAATGGCGAGCCAAATGCCCGTCACATCAGCCATTTCTCTATTTTGTCATGTTTGGCTTGTGCGTTCCTCCACGCATGGACATCTGTGCAAGGCATTCTTCCTTCTTTTTTCTTATTTCATTTTTTTATTTTTTTATTTGTAGAAAAAAGGTTTGTTTAAAGGAGTGCAAATATTTTTATGAAAAAAAGGCAAAGTACAATTAATTCTTATAATTAAAATATGTCACAAAAGTGTAAAAAATGACAAAAACAATTACTTGCCACTGCATGGCATGCCACTCCACCCACTCGTCACACGCTGACTGGATTTTTTTATTGGTTAAAATGTTCCACGTCACCGTGTGACATTCTATTTTTTGACTTGTCATTGCCAATGCTCTAACAATCCCAATGTTGTTTCATATGATACACTACAAAGTTCGAGATAATCAAATATTCAAATGAGTAGAACTATATTAAAGAGTATTACCCATACCGATGATCTTAGATGAACCATACCCAGCTGAAATCAAACTCAATTTGATATCTGGGACGTGCCTCACATCTCTGAGCACCAACTTGCAACCAGTGGAAGTCTCTAAGCAAATATCACCCATACCGAGGATCTTAGATGAACCATCATTTCCCATCCTCACATGGCCAAAGTCACCACTAGTATAGGATGAGAAGTACTCCGTGTGTGAGGTAATATGATAAGATGCACTAGAATCAATCACCCAGGTGGAGTCATCACAGGCTACATTTAATAGTCCATGATCACCTATAACAAACAAATCATCATCACTAGATGCCAAGGCTGTAGTGTTCTTCTCTTCTGGCTTCTACTCGGAATTCTCATTTTTATCTTTTCTCTTCATGGACATATCCCTCTTTTTCTTTCTGTAGAATCTCTCAATGTGACCCGGCTTATGGCAATAATGGCAAATGCAATCTCTTTTTCTGGATTTAGATCTCCCTCTGGACTTGTCTCTGTAATGAGGATTTCTGCTCTTGCTTCTCCCCTACTAGATTCTGAATCACATTTGCTTCAGCTTGGCTAGGGTAACTTGATTCTTTTCTCCTAGCCTCTTCATTCAAAAGACTAGCCTGGACCATCTCTATAATCATCTTGCCATCCGGAGCAGAGTTGCTAAGTGAAACCACCAATGCTCTCACCATTTTTGTATTGCAATCTAACAAGCTTCCTAATCAAAGAAGCTTTTCCCATAACATTGTTCCTCCCATACATGGATTCAAGTTTCTTCCACATCTCAAAAGCATTAGTTTCATTAGCAACATGTTGCAACACACTTAAAGAAACATATTGTCCGATTGGTGCAATAGCTTTCCGGTTCAAGGTAGTCCAAGCTTTCTCATCAACACCTGTTGGATGTTCTTCATACAAAATTGGGTCAAGCAAATCTTTAGAGCATAAATAATCCTCAATACGAATTTTTCAAATTGAATAATTCATAGAGTCCAAACTAACCATTCCTTGAACAATTACTTTGTCATCCATCATTAACAACACAAGAAACCAACCAATAAATAACCAAGCTCCGATGCCACTTTGTTGGGGAAGCACGGAACAAAACACAACGTAAGTGTATAAATTTTTTTCCCCAAATAAATGAGATTAACAACAAAGCACTATATACTCCAAAAATCAACATCACCACCACAAATAAATGCGTGGAAACCCCGAATCGGGAAGAAAACCACGGCCGTTCGACAACGGCACCCAAACTTCCACTAATCACCAAGAACCAAGTGGGTATAACAAGTTCTCCTCTATAGTAAACACTAGAGGCAAACACAATCATCAAGGAGCAACCTTGGAACAATAACAATAAACAATTGACCATAAAATGGAGTAAAAACTCCCAAAAACGCAGGTCTGAAAATGCAGCAAGAACACCACCTTCCGGACATCAAAACGAGAAACTGACCATTGGATTTGAAGAGGAGTATGTTAGGAACAACATACTAAAATTTGATCACGATCGGACTTTGTTTGGCCTTCGATTCGGACGAGAAAAGTGGCTGATGCACAGTGTGGCGGAAATCTGTGTATAGCTACTGCCTCTCCATCTCTTCATTTAGTATATGGGCCACCATAAAAAATACAATTGGACTGAAACTTTACACACACAAAATAAGATCAAATATAAAAGAGAGATTTAAAGTGTTGTCCAATTAAAATTGGACACTTCCTCCACGTAGTAGGGAAATATCTCAACATTTCATACTTTTCCTTTTCGGATGAATTCTCAAAACGTCGGAGGAAGAGGAGGTTACCGTCGAAGTTACCTTTGCAGCTGGAAGGGCAGAGGTGGGCAGAGACGAAGGCGGGGCTGGTGATTAACAAGAACCACGACTTGGAAATGTCGGTGAAGCGGGCGAGGGACCTGACGGGAGCAGAACCTGGCTTGGTAAAAGTAGGATGTGATGTGTACATTATGAAGAAAAAGGTATGATTTGATAAGTAAGGTATGGAAAAATAAGGGTAAAAATAATTTTTTAATTAACAAAAGAAGGAAATTGTTAAAAGCAATTTTTTGAAACGTAAAAAACCTTTTGAAACGGAGAAAATATTTTTTAAACAGACACTCACAACCCCTTTCATTTATTTTTCCATTCAATCAATTATTAATGGGTCCCACTTTTAATTTACTTTATTCATTATTTTAAATAAGTCATGCTCCATATTATATTTTAAAATAATATTTATTTTTATTAGAATGTAATAATTTACAAAAAATATAAAATTTAATGATTTATATTTAGAAGAATCAAATTAGAGAATATAATTACAATAATTTAATATAAATTAAATAAATTTAAAGTTACTAAATAAAAATAAATTTTTTTCCAAAAATAATTAGAAGAAAATTTATTTTTAAATAATAAAATACATTGCATTAATCGAAATACAACCACCACGTTAAAATTTAATCAATTATTACTGCTATAGTTTGTCCAAATATGTTCAGATATAACCATTATATTAGTTGTAATAATTATTATGAGAATTATTTTTATTATATTCAAATAGTGATTATATTATTCATAATTTATTACACTAATTAAATTAGTGATAAAATTGAAATTGTTGATTATATTCATTTTATTAATTATTTATTACATTATAAATTTTTATATAATTTAAAATCTGAAATCAAAGAAATGGATGATTTTTATAATAATATAAATATTTTTATAATTAGAAATATATTTACTTACGTTTTAGCTTGTTCAAAAAAAAAATTTAAAAAAAAAAACTTAGATTTTTTTTTAAAAATTTGGGGTGGGACTATTTGTCATGATGGATGGTGTTTAAAGGTTTAAACACTTTACACCCTCTCTCCATCCAATACATATTTCATATTAGTTTAAATATTAGTATGCATTCATTCAAAATATTAAATGGTGGTCGAATGGCACGAATGGAAGTGCTCAAAAAAATTAAAGAAAAAGAAAAAAATTACAAGTACATATTACCCTCTCCGTTCTTAAAACACTTCCACTTTTATTTTTTCTACTTCTAACAAAACACTTCCACTTTTTATTAAAAAATTACTTTTACCCTTACTTTTTCATATCTCACCTATCACATCATATTTTTTCTCTAATATTCTATTCATCACATCTTATTTTTACCAATCACATCAGGGGCAAAATTGGAAGCCAACTATATTTTAACATTTTCTTATTTTGGCTCCAAGTCAAACTAGGAAGCTTTTTTTTGCAAAAGGAGAGAATACTAGTTTATTGTAGTAACACCCAGTGTAATTTGGTAAGTTTGCAGCTTTCGCCTCTATACTTTTAAAATCTGTGTCGTTACCCTTGATGGTTATGATATTGTTATTCAAATATGTATTTGAACAAAAATATCCTCAATCATTAGATGAATAACTCCAGTACTCCCTATAGTTTTGAAAATGAGCGCCAACGCTCCCTCTCTTTTGTCTTTATTTTTTTCTTTTCATAAAGGAAAGAAGAAAATCATTTGTGTGCGAAGTAATGAAAAGTTATTTTTCAAACCTATAAAAAAGTTTTAAAACATATAAAAATATTTGTGTTTTAAAAAAATGAACTAAAAAATGTAACATATACTTCATTTGTCAAATTAAATATTTTCATTTTTTGTATTGGATAGTTTTTATTTATTTTTTGAATATGTCAGGATCAAAAGAATACTAAATAATACCTTTTTAATATATAGTTAACTATATATCAATAACATTTCATTTTTTGGACCGATGCACAAAAGATTTTCTTCATAACTTAATTTTCTCAATTTGAGAAAATTATTTTTTCATATACTTTTAATTTATTTTTCTTTATTTTATTTTCTATTAATTTTTTTATTTAACTTTGATTAAAATAAAAGAAAAAGTATACAATTAATGAAATGAAAATAAGAAATGAGCTTTAGTGAAAAAAACGAACTGTTTCATTGGTTTTTTATATCATAAAAATGAACCAATAAAGAGTTTTTTTGAACAAAAAATGAAAATGTTTAATTTGAAACAAATGAAGTGTACGTTAATTCTTTTTATTTAATTGATTTTTACTACAAAGACAAAAATTTGATCATTAACACATTATGAAAATAATAATTTTAAAAAATAAGTTAAAAAGACTTGTGAAAAAAATAGTAGAAAAAAAGAAAAGACAATGCCAATTTTCTAAACTATAGGGGACAACAAACTATTCACTTAATATTTGAAGAAAGTTTAGCCTAAAGGGGCATTGAAATAACGATATCAGAATCATAAGAGACAACGACGTAAGTTTTAAAACCATAGGGGATAACGGTGCACATTTACCAAACTAGAGAGAAATCTTGGTGCAATAAAGTCTATATACTGCTCGGCCCTCTATGTGACACTATTTGTACTCTTTTAACTTCTTTTAAGTCAAAATTGATATGTTTGATCATTAATTAAATAAAATATACTCCGTATATTTCTTCCGTGAACTAATGGCAATCCGACATCACCCTTCACCTTCGATCTTTTCAATGCTCAAAGCCTATCAAAGATGAGCAGTGATTTGGCAATATGGTGATGAACGTCCAGACCTATTGGGAGAAGATGACAATTACCTTTCTCCTATTTGACAAATTGTTGTATCCTAACCTGCTCGGAATATGAAGCAGATCATCAATCAAGATGAAGTTAAAAGAAGCAATTCCGAAAATGTCACAAGTGTTTGTTCAGAAGAAAAAAAAGAGAAATACACAATGATGCCCTTTGAAAGATAAAATTTCAGGTCCAGTTGTTCTTTCTTAAACTTATGTGATCATTAAAATAGTCTATATTTTGAGCAATCTATTAAATATTAAACATAGAAGCACGAATAACTAAGGCCTTGTCCTATTGGATTGGAAAAATTAACTTCAAACTTCTTCTAGCTCTTTCCAGTTTCTTCCAACTCCTTCCCGTTTCTTCCAAGTCCCGCGACCCGTGCCTACCCCTACCCCACTATGTTCATTTGAGTGAAAAGGCAAAGATCCAAAGAAATGCTAAGTCCAATGTCTAGCAATTCATGTGGCGACCTAATCCAAGTTCAAGTCTGAGATTGAGTTTTTTTAGTCTTCTACGATGACTTAAAAGATACTCCATATGAAACATTAAACTAATAACAAGGTTTAGCAATGGCAATGTGCTATTTATAGTTTATAAGTTTCAATAAGAATGGCAAAAGTGATATAATATGCAATTACGACATTGAGTTATATGTAAGATTTAATATCATCAAGAAACAAGGATTATTGATAAGCCATCATTAATGCAAGAGTTAATAGTTACTAAAGACTACTCGTAAAAAAATAATTCATCCATTGCAATAATCAATAGCCACACAAGTATATGTTTCATATGTATAAATAATATGTCCATCATCATATAAGAATGTAAATAATGATGTTTTCGTTATACTCCATAGTTATTGAATGATAAGTAGTTCAAAGTTCAATATTAAAAAAACTCAATATCTACTACTCTATATTATTAAATGTTCTACCAAAGCAATCTCAATTACAGAGACAGATAACCAAAACAAACTGACTCACATAGTAATCCTTGCAGATCCAATCCAGCAATCTCAAGTCTCCATACACAACTGAAAGCATTTTTCCTTCTAAACCAATCTGTATTCTTGAGGAAGAAGATGACAATTAACTTTTCCTGCTTAAAACAAGAAGCAGATCAGTGAAAGCAAACAAGGTGTAATGCTTGCATACTGGAACATTCATGAACCCTTTCCAAAAATGCCAGAAGTTTGTGTACAGAACAAAGAAAAATATATAAGAATAACCAATGAGCTCTTAAACAAGCAAAATCTACTTTTTGATTGAGAAGTTGTCTTTTGAAACTTCTGGAGGGGTAAAGTTTTTGTTTTTAGTCAACTTTTTTAAAATCTATTTTGTATGATTTTCAACGTTATCTGAATATTTTTTGGTTGTGAAACTTATTAAGACTCAAAATGATTTTATATAATCTTTTAACACTGTGAAAAGATAGGCTTTCTACAGCTGGGGAGTCTGAGTATGCCACATTTGTTGCTCTATCGAAGAAGGCTAACAAACGGGAATGGAAATTGCTGGTGAGGCCATCTTGGGTGCTGGAGGGACTATCTTGGATGCTGGAGGTATCTTTGTTGTTAATTGTGATTGCTAGTTTATCTTATTAATATTTTTCTCATTTTTTTTATAGTTTCTGGAGTCGGGGCGATCTCATCAATTATTTCATTAGGGCAAAAGGGTCCAGAAGAATTGCTCCTTCCTCCATGGAACCTTTCTTGTCAGAATTTATTCACTAAACAACTCTATCAGGCCTATCTACATCTGACTATCTGAGATAAATTCAAAGAGAAAGGGTAATGTAATGATTACAAATACTTATAAGCAATCAAAGATGCCTTCACCTTCCCCCCTTGGCTAGTCAGCTTTGCTGATGTGCTTTACTACTTTTGTGTTTTCTTTTTTACGAGTACTTTATTTATTTTATTTTGTAAAATTGTTTTATGTTCTTCTAATTATCTCTCTGGAGTATGTTTCAAATGTTTTATTCTGCTCACAATAATGCATTTAAATGGATTATATGAAAGGAAAATACTCTAGTTTGCCTTGATCCCATATGCCTCCAAATAATTTTACTATGACGTAACTTAAAGGTGAATTTTCCCGGTAATTTTTCTAAGGTCAAGATATTACCTTATACTCAGCATATAAATCTTGTGTGCAGCCTAGGACTTTAGTGAATGATCCATACACTCTCAACCTAAGTGACTGAAAAAAACACTGCATAGCTAGTATTAAAAGGGATCCTTAGAACTTTGATTTAGCAACAGAATGAGCATACCTTTTTCTACGAGTAAACTAAATATCCACTAATATCATCTTCATGAGGCAGAGAAAAATTTCAGCAAATTACATATGAAAAATGTGTATATGTTGTAAGTTCAAGAACAACTTACCCTTTAAACAAATGAGAAAACTCAATCTCTTGTTCAAATCGACATACTTGTCATTTCTTCAGATAGCCCATCGATAACGCAGCTTTGTTCTTGAAGCAGAACAAGAGATTCCAAGTATTTACCAACATACAATGAGCGGATGGAACCATAAATTCCAAGCTTATTAATGACTTCAGTATCCGGGCAGTACGAAACAAGCTCACCCTCGTTGGTAGAGAATAAAATGTCACTGTTTTCCCTAAAGCCAACGATTCTTCTCATCCCTTCAACCAGTTCTATACGACGTAGCCTACACCAAGATTCCACAACTCCGTACTCTTTCATCATCCACAGCTCACAGTAAGCACCATGAATCGCTTCACCATACTTAGCAACAACAATAGATTCACCAAATGTCATAATATTTAAGCTTGACCCAACAACCCCACTGGCCAATTCATCTGACAGCATAATTTCGCTAAAAACCTCATTATCCAAGGTGAAAACTGCTATAGAACACTTGAACATTTCATTGTCCAACGATTTGTACCCAATCCAATGCACTGCTCCATGGGCAAAAGTCTGAGACCAGATGAAATTGATCATATAAAGATTCACCCCAACAGCCGATATCCTTCTCCATTTCCCAGTTCTGAGAGAATAAATCTCAACATCTGGTGGGACATCGGGTATCCCCTGACACTCTCCGTTCCTTCCGAACACGGCTCTGACTACCTTGAGATCATCAACACACTGAGGATTAACACCAAATCCAAGTGTGGACGTAAAAGGCCAAGCCGGTCTAATAGTAGGAGGCGGTAACGTCTTAAACTTCTGAATCCAAGGGTTCCAAAGGTACATAGCATATGAATCGCTATACAAATCGTCTGATAAGCAAACGACGCCGTTGTAGCAGCCAACCACACGAAAATACCCGACCTTGCACGCAATTGGGGGACAGATCTGGGGAGAACTGATCGGGGTAAGTGTTTGGTGATCAGATTCTTCGAGTATTTCATACTTTTCCTTTTTGGATGAAATCTCGAAACGTCGGTGGAAGAGGAGGTTACCGGCGGAATTACCTCTGCAGCGGGAGTGGCGGAGGTGGGCGGAGGCGAAGGCGGGGCTGGTGATGAAGAAGAACCACGACTTGGAAACGGCGGTGAAGCGTGCAAGGGACCTGACGGGGAGACGGGTGAGGATTTCGATCAGTATTTCCTCCGGCAAGTGGTGGCGCTCCGACATCTTTCACCTCCGACCTTCCAACGATCCAACCCTATAAAAAGGTAAAGCCATCCGATTAATGTCCAGATATCTTGAAGTTCAAATTTACTGCCGGTAAAATAAATCCTCTTGAAGTAAAAAATTACTCCGTACTACATTAAAAAAAATACTCCGTAAAAAAGAAATCCGGCTTGCTGGTCTCGATCCAGCGACCTATGGATTGCCTTTACACACCCGATACTTCGGATGAAGGAACGGTTCCAAACGTCAAACGCCAGGCCTCAATCCATCACTCTGCCAACTGAGCTAAAGCCGGTTATGTTCTCCTAGTTGCTGACGGATTTTAGATACTATCTGGGTCCCAGTGTATTTGTCCAATTTAACTTTTTCGAGGTAAACTGGACAAACTTTGAGCTCCAATTACTCTCAATTTATATTGAATATTAGCATAATGAAATACAATTTTGAAAGTTCTCAATACGATGAAATTCATTTTTATGTTAAAATACATTACGATTTTTATTTAATTGAAATTCAAAGTTTGTCCAGTTTGACTCGAAAAGGTCAAACTGACAAATACACTGGGACGGAGGTAGTAGTTTGAATTTGATAACTCTAGACAGACTAATCAATTTGATGGATTAAATACTGCAACATTTCAACTTTATTGCTCCATCCGTCTCTAAATATTTGTCACATTTGTACTCTCAAGGTGAAATATTTATTTTATTCAATTTATTTTATTTATATATTGGTATAGAAAAAAAATTACATATCAAAAAACTAGCTGAAGAGTTCTTCAAAATAAGAGGTGTCAAGAATATTTTATTTTATCAATTAACCAATGAAAACGAAAAAAAATAAACAAAACTTCCCACGATTGTAGAAAAAGCAAGTGTGGCAAATATTTTGGGACGGAGGGGTAGTGAAGAGTAAGGTAGGGAAATTTCAACTGGTTCCCCAGAAAAAAGTATTCAATGTAACCAAGTAAAGTTTTATCGTTCACCCTCAGAAAAATTCTGATTCAATTTGATGGTGTAAATTACCATGCAAATACTAAGTATAAGTAATCGGAAGGGTTGTAGGTGGAAACACCTGTAACCCGGTTTGTTATTAATGATAATAAGAGCTATTACAAATACAAGCCGTGTGAATTAATTAAAGCATGTCTCACAAATGAGGCTTTTAGTCATAATTATAATAAAGAACAAGCACGTCAAGCACGTCCCGACGTTACTATTCTTCCGGTCGGTCAGTCTTCAAGTTATCCACCCAGGCAGTCTCCAAGCCATCCACTCGGGCAGTCTCCAAGCCATCCACCCGGGCAGTCTTCAAGTCATCCGCCCGGGTAGTCTTCAAGACATCCACCCCGGCAGTCTTCAAGTCATCCACCCGGGCAGTCTTCAAGTCATCCACCCGGGGCCAGAATTTGGTACCCCCGGGCGTATGTGAACTTGCCGGGTGGTACCAGTGGGTTATATCCATCAAGGAGTCCTCCGATTCTCGGCTTTGTGGGCACCATCAAGGGCGGGAATCAAACGTGTGAATAATTTTGAATTTTGAATCCTCGGGTATGGTTGGCAGGAAAGTTTTTACAGAAATCTAGTATGCCACCGCCTAGTTGTCGCGTCGTTTCCTCTTCCTGGATCGGGCAGGAATGGGCCACCCGACTGGTCAGGTCCTAGATGGATGAGAAGCTCCGGATGGAGGCCATGATGGTCGCCGCCCGGAAGGATGCAAAGGCAGCCCGGTTGGCGCTCGAGAAAATGAAGGAGAAGTTGGTCGAACAGGCTGAAGCTTATCGGGGTCTCTTTGCCAAGCACGAGGGCTTGCTCAAGTCTGCCAAAGGGTCGGATGAGCGAGCTAAGCGGAAGATCGCCGAGTTGGCGGAGAAGGCCGGGCAGACGGGCCAGCTAGAGGAGGAGAATGCCCAGCTAAGGGCTGACCTGGAGAGGGAGTACTCCGACCGGGCTGTTCACACGCATTGCTTGGGCTGTGCAAGAACCGGAGAAGTTCGCTGCCCAAGCACTTCCTAACCGGGAGGTCGGCATCCGGTTCTTCCAAGTGTCCCAGCAACTGACTGATGACATTGGGATCTTTAGGTTTGGGACCGGTCAGTACCAAAAGCACCGTGGGCTGTACATGATCTTGAGCAACCGGCTGCAGGATCTCTTTGGTCACGACCGAGCTATATCTACCCGGTCTAACGCATCTCACCATTCTTTCTACCCAAGTAGGAAATAAGCCACCCGGGTGGGTTTTGACAGAGCATGCCCGGGCTATGTTTCAAAGTTGATCATGTGAGTCATTTCTTCTTTCACCCGGGTGAACAAGAGCTCTAGTCCTCCGAGTGAGCAAGGCAATCAATTCTTTCCCTTCTTGGCCTCGACCATGCAAACGGGGGAACATATTCTTGAAAAAGTTCTCCGAGCCAAGTTAAGTGAATCCATCGTGACCCCGTCACTCACCCGAGTCTGAATCTTGATCGGGTGGGCAGTTTTATTTTTTTATTTATCCTGGGTAGGTTGGTTCACCCTGACTTTGCCCCGGTGAAAAGTTTTCAGGGAAAGATGTCGAAGATCGGGGTAGGCTCGATGTTCCCAGTCCGACCGGGCTCTCTTTTTTGCTAAAACCGATGTGCAACCGGTGTACCCAATTCGATTGGGCTCAGGCTTGTTAGAAAATATGTGCAATACTGGTGTGAGACTAGTGTACCAGTTCGACTGGGTCGCAATTTTTATTAATATGTGCAAGACTGGTGTGAGACCAGCGTACCAGGCCGGGCCTGTGTCACATACTTTTATCTTTTTTTTAGTTCAATTCGATTTAAGTATGGTGTTCCACCCGGGTGGTTTTGTGATGCTTAATTCGATTAGACACTGACCGGGCAGATGGGTCTGCAACCTTCCCCGACCGGTCTTACCATCTTTTCTGAAAAAATATGGTGTTCTGCCCGGGTGGTTTTGTAATGCTCAATCCAATTGAACATTGACCGGGCGGACGGGTTTGCAACCTTCCCCGACCGGTCTTACCATCTTTCCTGAAAAAGTATGGTGTCCCGCCCGGGTGGTGTTGACCCGAATGAGAATGTTTCACCATCTTTTCTGAAAAAGTATGGTGTTCTGCCTAGGCAGAGATGGACTTAGTCCATCTGATTCATTTGGCTTTCTACCCGAGTAGAAAATAAGCCATGTTTTTCTCGTTTAACTTGACCAAGCCAGATGCTCTCCTTTTTTGGCCGCGTCATTCGAGACCGTGTCAATACGGTTTATTAGTTTGACCAGGCCAGCTGGTCTTTTCTTTTTTTCTGCTGAAACCGATGTGCGACCGATGTACCCAATTTGATTGGGCTCAGGCTTGTTGGAAAATATGTGCAAGACCGGTGTGAAACCAGTGTACCAGTTCGACTGGGTCACATATTTTTTTTATTTTTTTCTTTAAATGCTCAATTAGATTGAACATTGACCGGGCGGATGAGCCTGTAACCTCTCCGACCGGTTTTGCAAGTAGTCTTTTCAGTAAAAGATCAATTTTATTTAACATTGACATGGTACATATCCAGTCTTAGCGGATGATAAAACGGTTGTTCAACACCACTTTCTTCTTTTCCTCCTCGAACTCTCTTTAACAGCCTCTCCAAACGTGCTTCTGCTCTGTTCACCCGGTCGTTGGGTGGTTCAGTATGTGTGTGTGTCGCTAGCTTGGGTTGGCTTTCCGCATGTCTTCCGCTCCAGACACCTGGTGTTGCTGGGGCACATCACCGGGGACGAGGTTTGGAGCGCCCGGTTTGACCGAGTCGCCTGTAACCTCCCAGTCTGTCGAACACACTTGGCTGGTGGATCTCCACCCCCAACCGCTCCTTGATCGGCCGGTTCTGGTTCCGTCCTTCATGTCTCAGCCGCTGGAACGCTGATCGTCGTGAACCTTCGGGCTGGACGGATTTGCCCTACAACTTTTTCTGGCCCCTGGAACTATCCGAGTTTTTGCCCCTGCTGTATACAGATTTCTCATCCGTGTCGGGTGTGATCTGAATGGGGATCTTGTGGGATCTGCTCTTTCTGGACCGAGAAGGACCCGCCCTTTCTAGCTTCCCGGCCAGATTTGTCGGGATGACCGGCCGGGTGGTACTGGCCGGTTCGTTCGGCGGGGGATGCCCCAGCGGGTTGGGAGGAGATGTATTTTGGGCCAGAGCATGGGGGTACATCCCAGGGATGAAAAGAGTAAATCCCCCGGGTTTTTGAAACATGGGCACAAATTGTCCAAAGTTTTGGAGGGCCTGACCCGGCGCTGTCTGAGTAGTGAAGGTGGTGATCATGGGGGAGAAAAGAGAAGGTAATGATGTGATTCCTCCCGGGATTAGGGTAACACTCTCCGCTGGGTTAGAAATTTGGGCAATGATGGATTCCATATTGTTGTTCATCATGGCTTCTTTTTGTAAAGAGGTCCCACGGATGGCGCCAATTTGATGGTGTAAATTACCACGCAAATACTAAGTATAAGTAATCGGAAGGGTTGTAGGTGGAAACTGTAACCCGGTTTGTTATTAATGATAATAGGAGCTATTACAAATACAAGCTGTGTGGATTAATTAAAGCATGCCTCACAAATGAGGCTTTTAGTCTTATTTATAATAAAGAACAAGCACGTCAAGCACGTCCCGACGTTACTATTCTTCCGGTCGGTCAGTCTTCAAGTCATCCACCCGGGCAGTCTTTTAGCCATCCACCCGGGCAGTCTCCAAGCCATCCACCCGGGCAGTCTTGAAGCCATCCACCCCGGCAGTTTTCAAGTCATCCACCCAGGCAGTCTTCAAGTCATCCACCCGGGGCCAGAATTTGGTACCCCGGGCGTATGTGAACTTGCCGGGTGGTACCAGTGGGTTATATCCATCACAATTTTTTTACTATCAATGTTCTTCTGTGGACTTGTTGACTCGTGTATTATTACATCTTTACTTCTAATCTTCTTGAGCGCTTCCCTTCTAATCTTTTCTCCCATATTTGCTCAAGATCGATATACGTTACACGCCTCACTCTTTCTCTAGATACTTTGTCGAGGGACTAATCAAAGTACTTTGAATAATTGAATATAATTCTGATTCAATTATTATTTTTACTATCCATGTTTTCTTTTTTACAAGTAATATATTTATTCTACGAAGTATTTTATAAAGTTTATTTTAGATGTCATTCTAATTTTCTATGCAGAGCATGTTTTAAATGTTTTATTGTGTTTGCGTTTTTTTAATACAACGTTTTAATTAATTATTATATAAAATGCAATTACTCTCCGGTTCCCTCCCGATCCGATATGCCTTAGAAATAATTTTATATATTATGACATAAACATACTTTTTCCTAGTAAGTTTTCTTGTGTTAAAAACTACTCCCTCCGTTCGGGAAAGATGAGTAGAACGGGAACATCATTTTGGAAGAAGAGTGAAAAAATAGTAGAATGGGAACATCATTTTCGGACGGAAAAAAGAGTAGAATGGGAACATTATTCCCGGACGGAGTGAGTAGTATTTTTTTCTAACTCTACATATAAATCTTGAGAAATGTTGTGGCTATCCACTTCTTATGTATATTCTCGTAGTTGACTCACTGCAACCTAGGACTTTAGTGATTCATACAAGCTTTACCACCCTCGCTCCCTGCAATACTATAACTAAGTGAGTGGTAAGCATGGTAAGCATATTTTGCGTCGTTTACCCTTGAACTTTCCAAAAATGTATACAAATTTTCTCTAAATTTCAAAAAATTACAGCAATACTCTTGAACTTTTAAAAATATTGCACCAATGATCTTTCTGCACCAGATTTGAGAGTATGTGAATCACACGTCATCAATATATCTGTTGAAGCTTGATGAAGATATCATTAATTGGTGAAGAAGTTGACCGATTGATGACGTGTTTTATCGATTGATGTTTGACCTTCGAAACCGGATAACAATGATTAATTCGAGAATAGATGTCTAGGTTTAATGAGGTTAAGAATATTAAAAATATTGTTTAGGAATGGCATTGTTGGATTATGGAATCCATGGGTAGAGGAAGAAAAGAAAATTTGTAGAGAAGATGATGAATAGTATTGGTGTTAAGCCCCTCCTCCACCTTCCCCTCCTCTTCCAAGAAGAGGAGTATAAATAAAGAGAGTTAGGGCTAGGGTTTCGAACTAATAGGCCGGCGCAACAGACTGCGCTGCCCTTAAATAAATAATAAACATATGACTAACGGGTTAGTCCAACAGACTGGACCGTCCCGACTAATATTATACAAAGACCGGATACCCCTGTCCAGGGTATTCATCATGAGTCCCCTACTTCCTCGGCCGAGTGTATCGAGGTCGAGGGAAGTAATCCAATGATGTTTGGGGATTTGAATTTTGAAAAATTTTGGCCGTGTGTAGGAGTCCCCCACTTCCCGAGTCGAGAGGAACTCGAGGTGAAGTGGGAGTAGAAAAACAATCCACCACGGAAGGGCACTGTCTTCCTTGTTGTCTAAAGTGTACAATCACCATAAGAGTGGATGAATCAGTCGTCATTTACAGTCCGTTTGTCGCCTTCAAACATCCTCCCACAATCCCGTCAATGTGTGACCCACTCCACGGATGATGCCTCATTAAAAACTTGCCGGGGAAAAACCCCATGAGGATGGGAAAAAATCCTCGGTCAAGAAAAGAGTACATCTTGTCCCACAGAGTGGATCAAGAAAACATTGCTAGGGTGTGAGGTCTTCTGTGTGAATCTCAAAAGAGGTGATCTTCAAGTCCCCCGGACTCGTTGTCCGTAGTCGAGGGCTGTTCGACATAATGAATTGACGACGAGTGCAAGTGCACGCGTACTGTTACAATCTGATACAAGGTCAGGATGTCGATCACGAAGCTCTCTTGTAATAATTACGAACCGAGCACCCGGAGTCCCCCACTCCCTAAGCCGAGGAAGAGTTCCGAGGTGAAGGGGAGTAGTGTCCATGCTCGACGTTGACGGCAGTCTATGGCTGCCTCACGAGCTTGAATGGATGAGGCCGAGCTTGAATGGCTGCGGGCAAGCTTGAGTGTCTGGGCCGAGCTCAAGTGGTTGAGGCCGAGCTTGAATGGAAAGGGTCGAGCTTGAGTGCCTAGGGCCGAGCTTGAGCGGCTGAGGCTCGAGCTTGAGTGCCTGGGGCCGAGCTTGAGCGGCTCACGCGGTGGCTGAGGCCGAGCCTGGCCTTCTCATCCTTCTAACCTGCAAAATAAGTTCAAAAAAGAATAAAGGCGCTCGCGGGCTCAGGCAGACCATTCACCACGCGGCCGAGAAAAGTAAGTCAACATATGAGTTGATTCCTGATAAGTCGTTTTTGGGTTAGTACTTTTTATTTAATTTTAGGCATTTTTAATATTTTTAGTCTTTAATTTTTAGTTGTTTTAGCTTAGTTTTATTTTAATTCTTATTTTTAAATTCTTTTTATTTTCTTTCAAAAATATTAGCTTTTTAATCATTTTTACATTATATTATTTTTATTTTATTTTTCCTAACCCAAATTATCAGATATCTTATTTTTGGAGAAATTGCAGCAAAAGGCGGAATTGAAGCTCAAGTTTGAAAAGAAGTGATTAAATTTGGGCCGGAGCCCAAACCCAACATTAATGAAATTAGCCCAGCCTCCTCTCTTCATTCCAATTCAACGCAAGAGGGAAAATGAAGTCTCTGTTTCCTTCAAACGAGCGAAATCAATGAGCAGCGTAGACCAAACCCAAGACGCTCCAACGTCTCTCCTTCTTTTCCGCTCCTCACTCAATGCAGCAACGGAAAGAAATTCTCAACGGGAAGAAAGGCTCGGACTATAAATTGGAGCAGCGCAAGACACAAGAAAGGGGGGAAACAGCGGGGGAACACAAGAGGAACAACAACAAGGGAGCCGCGGCGGCGGTGGCGGACGGCCGGCGGACGACGGTGGGCGGCGACCTCCAGCTTTGATTATGGTTCCATCACAGTTCCAATTCTTGAATTTCATCTTCTTCTCCAAGTGGTAACCCTTATTTGTAAATTTTTATTTTTTACTTCAATTCTATGTAAACGTTTGCTTTTTGTTCAATTTTTACACTTTTTTTTACCTTGTTTATGTTAATTTCATAAAATTCCAAAATGGTTGATGTTCTTTAATGGGTTTTTTTTCATGTTTATATTAATATCTCTTATGAATGAGAATTGATTCAAACTAGTTTTTCTTCAATTATTGAGCAAGTTGTTGTTGAATTGGTTGAATTACATAATTTGATTTCATAAGTAGGTTGGTATGTGGAATTCGGTTTTTGTTGAAGCTATTTTAGCTCCATAAGATAGTTAAATAAACTCCGAATTCATACGTGATTCTTTATTGTGCTTTGTGTTCGTTGTTTTAAGGATTTTGGACTTCTTAGCCCCATAAGTTGATTCATTTTTCTTAGAATTCGTTATTGAGTGATTATTATGTTTTCATGTGTTTGTTTGTTATTTTCATTGAATTAAGGTTGTTTAAGCTCAAAAACAATTCTCAATTTATTGAAAATATGTTGTGTTCATTTATGTGAATAGAAAAAATGTCATTGGTTTGAGGAGTTCATGAAAATCTGTGAAATGTGCTCATCATTAGGAGAAAAAGTTTGTTAAAATGCATAAGGTATTGGCAGTTTGTGAATAGATTATGTATGAGAGTTGAATGCATAATAGATTCTCTCTTTTATAAACTTTTTCTATAGTGGAAGTATGTTCTCATGCTTGAATAGAGAGTTGGGGTTCTAAGGTATATTTCAAAACGGGCCTTTGAATTGCATGACTCCGGGCCGTGTGGAGAGTTGACAATCCTCCATATCGTGGTTAAGGAAATGAATCGACTCGGCCTTTGATTGTTTTTTTCTATTCTTAAGTGCGTAAGTTACGTAATATATTGTCTACGTGTCTATTATACGTGTAATGTTTGATTTGTGTTTGTTCTCTTTTTCATTTTGTTTCAGGGTCTTGGTGGTGTTTTTTTGGGTTTACTTTTGTTGGAGGAGTTGATTATCTTTAGAGCTTCTTTTCCCCCATTTAATTAAAAAACCAAAAAGATTTACTTTTTATTCAAACCCCCCCCCCTTTGTGTTTTATGTTTATAGTTATAATATAGTTCTTCGTTTATAAGTTATATTTATAAGTTTTAAAATTTATTTAGTTATAAGTTTTATTATAAGTTTTATACGTCTTATCATATGTGTAGTAGTTAGTTTTATTTTTATATTTATTTTCGTGACAACGTGTTCGCATGCTAATTGATTTTAAAAAGTACAAACTTTCTCCATGGGATCGACCCTTACTTGCCCTAGCTATAGTTTTTATTTGATTATATTTTGGGGGTTAGTTAAGGATATTTTATAAATTTTTAATTTGTTTTGGACCACACGACAAGTCCTCAACAATTCCAATGTTTTGGACAAAAGATAGGCCTAATCAGCAAAGTGCGCCGATCGTGTGGTAGTCTGGTCTAGAACAAACCTTGATGTCATCCTTAGTGAGACCGGGGTCTTCAAATGAGAGCTGCTCGGGTAAGTGAGATAGGCACAAAGGATGCACCCCTCGCCTTAGATCCGAGAGCAAATAGTTCACGTCGTGGAAGACGGATATATAAGAGTGCGTCGAGATGGACGGCTTACCTCGGCCTCGCGAATAGTATCGTCGCGGACGATTTGGGGTGCCTCGCGGGGAGGGCTTACCTCAGCCTCGTAGAAGAGGAAATAAAATCGTGTCGTGGGAGACAGATGGGAGTGCGTCGCAGTGGATGGCTTACCTCGGCCTCGTGGAAGAGGAAATGAGATCACGTCGTGGAAGACGGATGGGAGTGCGTCGCGGTGGACGGCTTACCTCGGCCTCACGATAATATCGTCGCAGACGATCTTCAACACCTCGTAGGGAGGTTTTACCCGGCCTCGCTAAGGAATGACTAAATGAGTTGGATCTGAGCCATGCATTGAGGTAAGTCGCTGGCCTGTGTGGGGTGTGAGATTAAGCTTCGCACCCATCCCACATCAGGGCTTAAAGTGTTGAACACAAAGTGTAATACCGTCGTCCAAGTGAGGTCTGATCACATGTAGTGGACAAGGTAATAATAATAGAGTAAATAATATCAACTATGATAGTGATAATATGCTAAAAATAATAAATATAGGACAATTGAAATAATGGTGTCAAGGACACTTATCTTTTTATTACCCACTGCACCATCTCCACAATAAAGTTCCACGTGCCTGCTCAATTTCACTGCTCAATTCCAGTGAATAGTCATTGGACCCGACCTATTTTTCAAATTTAGATCTGCATCTTGGATTTCACTGCTGTGTCGTGGTGTAAATAGTGTAGCCAGCGATTTGGAGCAGCTTCACCAGCGCTAGGATTATGGACGGAGCTGACCACAGCCGAACCGAGTGAAGGAGTAGGTGACAGGAGGCTGACCTTCGTGGGTGAACCGTGGATCTGGGCCATCCTCCGAAGCAGGAGGCATTCCATCGTCGCTGGCTGATTCGTGAACCGTCGGAACACCTCCCCGTTAGATTTCGCTGTAATCGGGACGCTAAAAAAACTCGCCGACGGACCTCGTCGCCGGCAGTGTCACGCCATCGACAGAGCTCGTCACTGCTCCAGAGTCAACGGCCTTCGTCACTAGCTGCGTAGAGGAGGGACGCCGTGCATTGGAGTCATCAGAGTGGTCATCAACTAGCCCATGGGATGACGGATCTGCAGCAGATCTACCCTCCTCGCTACCTCCGACTCCACTCGCCGGCGAGAGTCAAGCGGTCAACGGCGGTGCTGCGAAATCTGGCCAGAGATGGGTGGCACATCCAAGATTTGCGGTTGACTAACGTCAAATTCCGGAGCAGCCGAAGCCGTCGAAACGCCTCTGAGCGTCGCCGATGATGAGCAGGGCTTCACAGGGTCGGGTCGTCCAGAGCATTGACGGTGAACAGAGCTTCGCTGAGTCTGTAGTAGAGCCAATGTTGTTGCTGAAGATGCCGAAGGAATTTGGAAAAAATCCTTCCTTTTAATCCAAGAAAAACACGAATGGAAAAGAAGTGTCTTGCTTCAACGTGGACTGCCGATTAAAGCTCCACCGACAGCCACCATTGGCTGTAAAATGAAAAAGGAATAGAAGAAAAATTGTGTCTAGCACGCTTGATGTGTTCGACACTCTCAATGAAAGCACCATTGTTGGAATATGGAATCCATGGGTAGAAGAAGAAGAGAAAATGTGTAGAGAAGATCATGAATAGTATTGGTGTTAAGCCCCCTCCTCCCCACCCCTCCCTCCCCCACTCTTCCAAGAAAAAGAGTATAAATAAGGAGAGTTAGGGCTAGGGTTTCGAACTAATGGGCCAGCCCAACAAACTGGGCAGCCCTTAAATAAATAATAAACATACGACTAACGGGTCGGTCCAACAGACTGGACCGTCCCGACTAATATTATACAAAGACCGGATACCCTCGTCCAGGGTATCCATCAGGCATATTACAGTTTTCACATGTGATATATATGACTTTAGATAATGAATCCATATTTGTACTGGATGAGCATGTGATAAATGTTCTTTTGTTATTTGCTAGAGTAATTTGAACCAATAATATGGTCATGTCCCAATTACTTTTGTAGATCTTTTGATGTAGTTGTAAAATATGTAATTTTTGTTTTTAAATTATACATCTTTTTTCATATCAAATAATTTGAAAATAACTCGAGTCAAATATTGTAAACAAAAATGGGTGATTTAAATTGTGACAGATGGAGTAATTTATTATAAGATTTTGAGTCTCTCTTCATCCTAAAATTAACTTCCCGTTAAATATTTCACAGTTACGAATATTATAATTCAACTATTAAAATATTTATTTTTATATAAACCTATATTTTGTTTCAAAATAAAATTATTAATTTGAGTTAAAGAAATTTATCCAGAGAAAACAAACTGCAAAATAATTTTAGGACATAATGAGTAACGAATATATATTTTAAATAGTTTTATAGTCCAACACATGAATTTTTTGCTAAGTATAGTGGAGTAATTTTAAAGTTGGTGTTAACTCGAACAAAAAGATTAGTACATATTATAATTTGTATTCTATATTTATATTTGAAAATATTTTACTACCAATGTTGTATTCAAGGAAGTGTTCCAAAATATTTGAAATATGTTGTAATAGTCAATTTTTTGACATATACACGTGTCATTTGTGATTTTTTATATCAGGAAGTCCGTTTTCTAATTATCAATATTCGATTTTGTTGAAATTTTATATTTTTCTTTAGAATTTCCTACATTATACATAAGAAAATTTTTTGGTTACCAATTACACTACTTAGGGGTGGACACGGTACCGGTACGGTACCGTCACCGGCAACGGTACCGCTGGTACCCGCCACCGTACCGTCGTCGTCGCCGTGTCACCGGTTCCGGAAACCGGTACCGGTACCGCCCATTTCAGTACCGGTTCCGGTACCTATTTTTTGGTACCGGTACCGGCGGTACCGGTCCGGTTCCGGTACCGGTTAATTTTTTTTTGTTCATTTCAAATCCTGCAAAAAGTTAAAAAACAAAGTGGGGGGCACACCTCAAACGACTATTTAGCCGTTGAGGTGGGGGAGGGGAAAAGGGGAGGGGGGAGGGGGGAGAGGGGAGGATTTATCTATAAATTCTCTCATTTTTTACATAAAAAATCACTCAATTTCTCAATCCATCTCTCATTCTCTCATTCTCTCATTCTCTCAATTTATCAATCTCTCAATCTTATTATCTCTATTTAATTTTTATACATTTAATATTCATATAATAATATAAAAATTTTATACATTAAAATTTTCAAATTTTCAAAATTTTAATATATAAAATTTCGAAATTTTTTCAAATTTTTCAAAATTTTAAATATTATTAATTTTTAAATATATTCTTTAATCTTTAAATAATTTAAATATATT